ATGAGTAGAGCTGACGCTTCCATTGAATTTTACATAGCCTTGCTTTCCCAAAAGTTGCCCTCATCCTCGCTCAGCGTATCATAACCAGCCCCAATGGGATTCGAACCCGGCTCTCGCGCATCTATACAAAGTGGCGATCACTCAGCAACAGCTAATTTAGCAACAAGTATGTTGTTGCTATGTCAAGATATTCCTCCAATGATATGTAAGCTATGTCGGCCTGACAACACAGTGGCCATGGCACCTTATTTACCTCTTAAGCCCTCGGCATGAAGGCAGATTACGGGAAATCTTTATGAATTGTCCTTCGTTGGAGTCCAATTCGACTGTTGCTAACTATCTCGTGATGAGAGATTGAGCAACGAAATTGGGGCAGATGGCAATTCTGCTGGCGTGACCAAGAGAAAGAGCTAACGATGCTTGCTTTAGGTAGACGATAGCTCGGCTGATGAAGCAGTTTCATCCCCAACTGTATCTGTACATGCGAACGGACGTTGAGGGCACAAGCAAAAATGCATGTCATTACGCATCCTATTCTCCAAAATTTCCCCTAGACTTAAGCCCATTTCAGAAGCGCTGAAAGAGGGGGAAAGGAATATACCAACCTCTTGTCCGGTATGAAGCTGCGATTCTTTCCGGGCACTATTGGGAGGACCGGTCAAGAGAGAAAGCACGAGTCAGTTGGGAAACAATCCATTGTGTGGAGGAGAAGACTGCATAAACTGAGTGTATACAAGTGATTCAGTTGTGCTCCCGTCCTGTGTGGTGGCCTAGTGTCTATTCTGTATGGCAGCCCTGATTTCATCTGCTGTCGTCTCAGGGTCCCAGGATTGCAGCTTCACCCTCTCAGACTCCTCTTTTTTTGCCTCTTCCGCAAGTTCCGTTATTCAAAGCTCCCAGGCTCGAACTCTCCGTTTCCGGAGAGCTGGACGGCCGGCCAGTTATACGTCAGTTGGGTAAGTTGGTGAAGCCGCCGGAGGGAGGGCATAAAGTGCTGCCAAAGGAGGCGTCGGATGGCGGGGCTGACGAGCGGATGCCGACGCCCTTTTGTGTAGTTAAGGCAGCCTGAGTTCGAGCCGAGTCTGTCGGTCTCGTGACGACTAGCCGGATGGGGTGAGCAGGAGTTTGAGACTGAGTTGGCTCCTCCGACTCGGCTCGGCTCCTGTTGTCGGGCCGGAGAAGTATTTGATTCCTGTTGTCCCGCTTTTTTGTCTGAGCCTGTCCCGACGTCCGTGAACGAGGCGGCGGACGATGAGGTCTGGTGAAGAGGATACAAAATCGAATAAGTTTTGTTCTTCACAAATGTCCTGTATATATCACTTTTTGGCCTCCCTCGGAACAGTAGAGATCTTACGCCCCCGGCAGGATCGCATTATCTAATATAACTTTGGTGTTTGTTGATATACATCACAAAAAGAGCCAGGGGTGCGACTTTTAGAGATCACATATGTCCAAGCCCCTATACCTTCTTTTTCTAAGTGATGTCTTTACCCTCATCTCGATGCTGAACCATCACCATGACAATACCAAGTCAGCTATTCAAGTTGTTAATGAGATTATTGGAGACCTGAAGAAAACGTCGGAATGCATTCTGGGGGATGACTTTCTGCTTCTTAGGTGCAATACAGCTCGGATCATGTGTGCCCACTGTTTGTATTCGAGCGAGTCTTTAAAAACATGTGGCCATCTTCATCATGCTTGTGGTTATCCTATGCAACAGGTTCATTCCTTCCGGACCTCGAACCACGTGTTTTTGATACCCTTACGTCCTGTATTCCAAGCACTTTATGCCAATGCGCTGGTAGATTCATCGAAAAAGCCTAATCTCCGAGCTCTTTTGAGCAGTACAACTAAAAGAACATAGGTCGTCAGTTTTCCTGTAGAGCT